GAGACCGCCTCGTCGAGCCCCCCTCGTCGAGACCCCCTCGCCCGGGGCCTCGGAAGAAGTGCCGATTCTCCGATTCGCGCGAGGCCGGCTCGGCACCAGCCCCGTGGCCGCCTCTTCAACCAAACTGCTCTGACCAAACATCGCATCCAAGCACCCAACCACTCCGACAGACGCACGATGGCACAGTACGGCAAAGTGACCGGCTACACGCCGGTCGCGTCAACCCCCTGCCATCTGAGACGGCACAGAGCAGGGGTTACCGACCACTGTGCTGCCTGACTCCTGCACCAAGGATATCGCAACGTGGGGAGTCAGAACGGGTTCCTGTAGCCTCGGAATCAGCGGACCGACCACCCCATCTAGCCCGAGCCCCCCCACAGGGCCTCGGATTCACTGATCTTGCTACGCCTCGCCCGTCCACCTCACCCGAGACCCCCTCGGAAGGGCCTCGGACTAATCGGCCGCGCTTCGCCTCGCCCGAGGCCAGGCTCGTTCCACAACCTCGTCGTCTCCGCCTCAAAAGTCTCTCTGGCAGGCTGTCACATCCGATTAATGCGCTCGGCCGCACCCACTACGTAAGCCACGATCGGCAGTGCGCTGCAACAGGAGCGACGGGACAACGGTCAGATCACCTTTTTTACCATCCCTACTGACAACACAGGTACCGTATCCTGTAGGCGCATGTCTCGCACTATTCCGCCTGATGGCTGCTGAGACCCGCATCTGCACCTGGGTCACTTCTCAGGCCTCGGCACGGCAGGCCTCGGCACAACAGGCCTCGGCACGACCGGCTACGAAGGCCGCCGAGCCTCTGCAATCCACCAAGTCAATAAATGCGCAGCATGTTACTTGCAGTGAAGACCATACCGATTGGACATCTACGGGAACTCCCACGACAACGCCATGCTGCTCCAGGAGTAAATACGTCATCGAATAGTCCTTGCTCCACGTGTAGCTCTCTTATGTACTCCTGGTTTCCTCCCTGCGGCTATAAAAGAAGGCAACCAGGACCGTTTCCAGGACGACGAATAGAATCACAGATACTCGCACGAACAACACGCCTCGTTCTGTAATTTGATATCACCTCCCCTCACAGAGATCTGGGACGAACTCCCTCTCTCACCTAGCTTGTAACCCCATACTACGAGCACCTCGGTGCAAGGAATACAAGAACACCTTCTCAGACTGGACGTAGGGCATCCATTGCCCGAATCAGTATAAACCTTGTGTCTCTTTGCATCTCCATCCGGAATTGGGAGCACGCAGCACAAATTCACTAGTCGGTTAAGGACCCCCGGTTCCGAAACACCGACAACTACACACCACGTATTTTAGGATGTTCATATATTATAAATGCATGTTCAACGATTATCCTTGAGTTTCCATGAGATGTTCTGTAGTATATTTTAGATTGTTTAAATAATATCCATGTGATGATTTTTTTAATTTACCTTTTTTATGTGGATTTTCCTTTTCAATTGTGATTTGCTCTATGCTTCAATTATGTTTTTTTTCCATGTGATGCTTTTGTCTGGGTTACGTACCAAAATATTTCTTTTCCTTCTCTCGGTACGCTCACTGCTTTTTTGTGCACGAGCTGAGAGGTACATGCTGCGTTCCGTGCGCAAGTACGTGGGGGTGGGTGTTCGGTGGCAGTGAGAGTGATGCAGGGTGGACCTGATGTGACCAAGCGCAGCAGCGGACGCATTGCCAGGCGGGAAAAATTATCAACATGACTACACGAGGCTATTGTCAAGCCGCCCAGACCTTAGAAGCTCCCTCCACGGGACGGAAGTGATGTTTTTTAATTCACATCATATAAATAGGATGTTTTACCATTATTTATAAAAATACAATGTTTTTTTGTTTATGTTTGTGCATTTGCGATGTGTCTTCTGCATTTGTTATGTCATTTGTTTAGTATTTTCTATTTCTGTATGTTTCATACTTTTGTTACTCATTTTTATATTTTTATTCTTATTTTTTTATAGATATTTAATACAAAATACATGAATCTTTAATTTTTTTCTTAGATGTGGAATACTGTTCTTCAGAACTGAGAACATTTTTCTTATGGAGACGAAACATTGTTTTATAAACCTAGAACATTGCATTTGCTCAATAAAAAGAAATGTTCAATCTTTATATAAAAAATGTTCGCTAATAAAATTTTATCTAAACATATCTAAGTGAGATCTTGTTTTGAAGATTTTATTATAAGAAACACAATGATGCAATCAAAATATAATTTGGAATCTCGATTTGGGAAATATAACTTTTCTAAACTTTGAAAAGAAGTTGCATGAGTGTAATGTCAGTAAATTTGGATTTTTGCATGGCTGGATGCACTGTGGATGGTTTTTAGGCCATGTTTAGTTCAAAAAAATTTCAATCGAAAATGTCACATCGAATCTTGCGGCACATGAATGAAGCATTAAATGTAGAAAAAAAAACTAATTGCACAATTTGGTTGAAAATCGCGAGACGAATCTTTTAAGCCTAATTAGTCCATGAAAAGCCTTAAATGCTACAGTAACTCACATGTGCTAATGCCCGATTAATTAGTATCATTAGATTCGTCTTGCAGTTTTCTGATGGGTTCTATAATTTGTTTTTTTATTAGTATCCAAAAACCCCTATCGATATCCTTCCGACACATCCGATATGACACCCAAAAATTTTCGTCTCACCAAATAAACACACCCTTAGTCAATTTTGTGCAGAAACATGCGCTATGAAGTCGGCGCACCAGTGATGTGACATCAGCCCACAAATGGGAAATCAATCTGCGGGCGCACTAAAGAAGCTGTCCGCTGAGGAAACAGTCTGCCCACGTGCGCGAAAATTATTTGCCGGCCGGCGGGAGCATACCGTCCGAACGGCCGGACCCTATGAGCGCCCGTGCAAACATGGCCATGCTCGACGGCACCCGCACCCCCGTCGTCCGTTGCCCCAGCCATCGCACCGCACAGTCCGCGACCCACTCCTCCAGCTTCAACAGAGAGTTTCACCATCCGACGGCCACTTACCCATGCATGCCCCGCCCCTGCTGCAGCATGCAGTTCTGGGCTGCTAGTTGCTACCCATGTGTGCGGCCGATGCCCACTGGCAAGTGCCACATGTTCATTTGTTTCTTACTAGAATATTTATCAAATTATTAATATACTTTTCAGTTTATAAAGATGATTGACATAAAATTTACCCCTTTGCCCAAAATGCACAATTTAGTTTTAGTACTCAAAATTAGGCTTCATGCTAAGTCAGGATAAATTTTGCATAGATAGGTTATGATGAAATTAGCCCCCCTCTTGCCTCAATCCTAGATCCGCCACCGTCTAAAGCAATTCACCATGTTCGCTGATGCTGAAATTTGGCTTATGCTGATACTTATGCTGAAATGTTATGAGAGGAAAACACTGTTCCATAGCTGAAAAAGTAGTTATGAATAAGCTCAAGCGAGCAGGGGGATCGTTACAATGAGAGTCTACATATTACAATCAAAGGGGAAGAAAAGACTGATATGATATTGTTTATCTGACGAAAAGCCTTGGAGATCTTTGAAATGATTCAACTGGAGAATTTCCTGCTGAAACTTAAGCTGTCGTGGGACTCGAAGTGAATTCTGAATCTGTCAAGAAATCCCCTCCATGCCCCAATGCCATTTTCCGAATACAATTGGCAGTATGGGTACATTCGAGTCCCGTGATCTCTCCTTGAACCAACTTTCATGTGTAATTACTCAAAGCATGGCAATCACTGCACTTGCTAAGCCTCCTAACAGGGCGTACAACAATCTCTCCGGGGTGCGAGCTCTGGGTTTTCAGCTTCCTGTTGTGATACAGCCAATGACGATTATCTCTGCTGCCCTCTAGTTTCAGAGCTGCTCAGGACTCAAGCAAGACCCATTGAGCATGAAAACACACTTATCGCCATGATGTCTTGCTCTATGTATTTCCTGGGCCTTGATTTGAACTTGGATTAGCGTATTTGGGCTACTTTGTGTTTTGACCTGTAAGGCAGAGAAGAAGTGGTACTTCTGGCCCAATATGAGAAATCAGGACAGTGTGGTGCTACTAGAACGAATGCGAGCACGGCATTGATGGACAACAATCAGAAGTCAGCACTTGCAAGAGCTACGGAAAAGATGTGCAATGTGTGCATCAGGAAGTTGAGAGTGAGGTGCAATGTGTCATCTTGAGCTTTTAGTGTAAAAATCTGAACTGTTCATCATCATCCATAGCAAATACAGTAGTACTTTTGATTGAGGAATTCACATTATAACTCACAAATAAGGTCACTGAGTCTTTTTCCATTTAATCAAAACCTGTATCAAAGAAGAATCAGAATATAGTATACAGCCATTTACAGAATTACACCCACTCTTTTTTTAGATAAAGATAATTACACCCACTCTATGGCCACCTTTGTCTATTATCCATTTATCCCTGTATATATGTTCTCTCCAATTTATCTAATCTAATATTAAAAAAATCACCATACTGTAAAACAGACAATCCAAAATATAGACTAGACCTGAGCAATCTCAATATATCCATTTTGAAATTTGAAACAGACACTGTTTCATCTCAAGAACAGAGAAGCCTTCTCATTCTGATTCTGATCCTTTAAGCTATTTCCTTGCTGCTGCTTCTCATTGCAAATCTGAAATGTTCATCATCATCCACAGCAAATACTAGTAGTTTTGATTCAGGAATTCACATCATAACTCACAAATAAGGTCATTGAGCCTTTTTTCCATTTAATCAAAACCTATATCAAAGAAGAATCAGAACGTATTATACAGCCATTTACAGAATTATACCCACTCTATGGCTACCTTTGTGTGTTATCCATTTATCCTTGTATGTTTGTTCTCCCCCTCCATCTAATCTAATATAGAAAACCACCCAAGTCCGGCACCGTCAATCAAACAATCCAAAATACAGACTAGACCTGAGCAATCTCAATCAATCAATTTCGAAATTTGAAAAAGACACGTTTCATCTCAAGAACAAAGAAGCCTTCTCATTATGATTCCGATCCTTGAAGCTCTTTTCTTGTTGTTGCTGCTGCTCGTTGCCATTGTCATGCTGCAAAGCACCGGGCACCCACCAAACTCTAATGGTCTTGTCAAGGCTCCCGCTGTAGACCATGCAGCCATTGCTGAGCCTGCACCAGGACGCCTGGATGCATTTTACAGGGCCCTCGTGGCCTCCAATGACGCCCACCTTGGCCAGCTCGCCGCCGCTCTGCCGGCGCCACAGGCCGATGGTCTTGTCGGCGCAGCCGGTGCAGAGCATGTCCCTGACGACGCAGAGGCACAGCACGGCCATGTCGTGCGCCTTCACATCGCACGCGAGGGTCCAGCGCGCGGCGGTCCTGCCGTCGAGGCGGTCCCAGCCGGCGACGTGGCTGTCGGAGCCCGCGGCGTAGACCCGGCGGTCGGCGGTGGCGACGGCGAGCGCGTTCCAGGACACGCCATCGCGGGCGACGAGGACGCCCTGGAGGAAATGCGACGCCTTGCCCTTCTCTCACGCCTTGACGCGGCCGTCGGCGGAGCCGGAGTAGACGACGCCGGCGTCGGCGGCGACGGCGTTGACGGTGTCGTCGTGGGCGCGGATGGACTCGAGGCACTTGAGGTCAGCGATGCGCCAAACCTTGAGCGTGCGGTCCCAGGAGCCCGAGTAGAGCAGCGCGGCGTTGTGCACTGTGGCGGCGACGGCGAGGCAGGAAATGCTGTCGGCGTGCTCGATCCAGAGGCGCCGGTGGCTACACCACGCCGTTGTCTGCACGTAGCTGGCCTGGCGGAACACCCGGCCCAGGTAGTCCCTGGCGGTGGGCAGCGCGGCGACGAGCTTGAAGGCGTTCTCGGAGCGGGAGCGGCGGGAGACGCGCCAGACACAGACGCAGCCGTCCTGGTGCGCGGAGAAGACCCGCTTGCCCGCGGCCGCCAGCGCCTTGACGGAGCCGCCGTTCTCGCCGTGGCCGAACCGCGCGAAGCGCCGCAGGTCGGGCTGCTGCCACGCCACGATGTCGCCGCCCGTGGACGCGCTGAGCAGGAACTCCCCGCAGAGCGAGAGGCAGGAGACGGAGCCCGCGTGGTCCCGCAGCACCGCCAGCGCCTTGCACGGGCCCTGCGGCTGCGGCGGCGGGAAAGCGGAGTGGGGTGAGGAGGAGGCGGAGGTGGTGGAGGAGGAGGAGGAGGAGGACGCGAAGGAGGTGGAGGAGAAGGAGACCGACAGGCACGTGGGCCGTGGGAGCAGCGGCACCGTCATGGCCGCGCAGTCCGCGTCCGGCATTGCCGCCATGGTGAGGTTAAGGGGAAGGGATGAGGCTCCGCCGCTTCGGCCTCGGGCATGGCATGCGCAGAGACGTTGGGGAGGAGAGGCACGGCGATGGATGGCTATAATAGCAGAGGGTGGTGGCTACGCCGCGGCGCTGGCTTTGGCGTTCGTTGGTTCGCGTCGCAGACAGAGGGGCCGCGGGGCGCGGGCCGTTTCATATAAACACACGACGACGACCAGACAAGCGCGAGGGTGTTGTCTTTTTTTCCCTCTCTCCTTTCCAAAAAAGAAAGGGGTTCTTGCGTTTGTATCCTTGTTTTGTATCGAAATTGTGATTTTGTCCCTATTTTTTTTTGACTTTGTGAATTTACCCCTACTGTGCCATTCACGAAGCACCGGTTTGCCCCTGCTCCGTCATCCACCCCTAACGGTGTTAAATTTTGTACAAAAGACATGAATGCCCATGCGATTTTGCCCCTTTTTTTTATGTCTAATTGTGATTTTGCCCTGTCGGCCGAGAGGCTCGGTTTGTGTGGCGCGTGAGTCGATCCGTCCGGCCATGGCGCTGAGCCAGAAGACGTGAACGCTTGCTGCACCGCTGACGCCCAAGCGCAAGCCTCGCGCGCGCTCGGCGGGTGGCACACCGTGACCCTGCGAGCTTTGTGCCCGCATGACGGCCAGCGCTGCCGCTTGCCGCGCTTTTGACCCAAACATCGCGGCGGCGGGCATTCTTTGTCTTCTTGCGCCTGCATCAAGGCCAAGAGCGGTGCGTGACCCTACAAGCACTGCGCCCGTGACCAGCGTTGCTGCGCGCCGCCCTGCAGCGTCTGGGGGGCCTATGAAGCGCCAGCGCCCATGGACAGACAGGCGCCGCCGCCCATGTTATGACCTTGACCGGCGTCGCGGCCGAACATTGCCTTGCCTGCCTGGCGCGCGCAGTGGATGGCGAGCGCGCACGCCCATGACCAGCGCCACCGTCCCCGCTGACAACGCGCCCTAAAGCGCCCATGGTCGTGACGCAGCGAGGAGGTTGAAGATAAGATGAGGGGCAACATGGTCTTTTTGCCTCTGTTTGCAAGGATTTTGATTTTTTTTAATTCATTTATTCCATGTCCATCTAACAGACATCCAAACCCGGGGTAAACGGGTGGTTCGTTTTAAAATAACAAGGGTAAAATCATAAAGTTGAAAAAATAAGGGCAAAATCACAATTTGACTGCTGTTCAGGGGCAAGAACACCATTTCCCCAAAAAGAAAAGGGAGAGAGAGAGCAGGGGTGAAACGTAATTAATTCAAGAGGCGTGTGGGGTGGGGCCGGCGATGGAGAGGCGGTTCAACGGCTCCTAGCTGGATACGTAGGCTGCAGCCTGCAGGCTCAAGGTGAGCCTTATTTTCTTTTTGTGACCGATGACAGGCAGCACAACAGCACACGAATTCGTCCGTTCATGCAGACGCAGAGTTTACTAGGTTGGATCCAGAGCATTTCTGCGTTAATCGTTGGCTATTTTCGGCGGAATTAAGGGTAGAGGTGCGGAAGTCCGGTCCAATATTTGGTTAGCCGACACGTCGGTAGGACCAGCTGGCACTAGCATCCAAAGTTCCGCTTGGCTGGACGAATGAGTTGGTCCAATCGTCTTTCCACTCCTCATCTTTTTTTTTCCTCTTCGTTTGTCCTATTATTCGTACTTTTCGGCTTGTATTTTCAGCCAGAACAATGTTTTTCTCTCACAATAAATCAGACAGAACAGTGTTTTAGCTTTTTTTTCAGCGAAGCGAACGGAGCCTTTGTTTGGATTATGAAATAAAGTGGATTGATCTATCGTTATCTCATTTCTCATAAGTTAATTACTAGAATGATTTGATTCCTCAAACAAAACACCATGTAGTTCCTTTCATGCCATTGGCGCCGTTCCTCTGGTCACAAAACCAGCCGGAATTCACTGTTCACGGCTGAAATTCATTGTTCACGCTCTCATAGATTCATCCAGATTTCTCTAAATTCCTCTCAGCGAACAGGGCCATTGCAATCGTAAAAAATAATGTGAAATTCTCCGGTGTCTTCGCTGCTCACTGGGGGTACGAGACGAAACTCCACATGTCAATATTAACGACGCAATGACGAGGGCAAGTTTCGGATTCCAAGAGTTTCCAGTGTCAAATCTATCTTTGCATGTGATTTTCTCGTCATTTTGTCCATATCAGTACTAACCTTGGGCAAATTCAAGGTCAGAATGTTTGATGTTACGTCATCATGTAACGTACTGTACAAACTTAAGCTGCTTGTAACTATATATACGATAGGTGCCTTTTTTTTTTCTTTCTTCGAGCGACCAAAATCAGTCGTTGATCAAGATCCAACGTCCTTTATGTTTCTTTCTCCTCTAGGCAATTGTTCATCTTCTTCGTTACGTTACAATATTTTGCTTAGTTTCTTCTCCATGGGCCCCCGCCTACGGCCTGGCATCTGCCTCCTCGCCATCGAGGTTTGTGAGCCATTGTCCCCTGTCACGCTAATCACCATCCCCTGCTAATCCAGTGGCCACCATTGCCACCAACCCCGGCCCTTCCCTTTCAGATGTCCTCCACCGTCCATGTCTAGTGGCTCTCGCCGCGCGTCACCGTCCCTTTCTCGAACCGCCATTACCGCCGGATCTACATGTCACCGTAGCCTGTTTCTAAGCCCACAGACATGAAGCTCTCTTCCCTAGCAACCCTCTCCTTTAATCCAGCCAATGTTGCAGGTGGGTGTTGGCGTGTCGCCTAAAATTGACATCATTTTCAGACATCAGAATTGTAGGAGATGTGCACACACATAAATATTTGAGGTAATTAAACGATTGCCGACTGTTACGAAGATGTCGATTAGTTTATCATCAGTTGGCTGTCTCGGTCTGCGGTGACGGCAACAAGTAATGTGCTGAACGCGCAATCACGGCGTACGTCCACTATAGACGACGATGCATATATAGCGAGAGTAGAGGTCACATGCATGCGACCACTACGACGAGGAGTGGGCGACACGTACCTACCCTTTTTGTTCCTTGTAGCCTCGTCCGGACACTTGGCCTGCAGCTCCCAGTTTTTCTCTGCCATGCTGCCGTACCCGTGCTGGTGCTGGATCGCGAAGCACTAACAGCCGGTGCAAGTGCATCGGACGATGACGGCGTCACGATCGCCGACGATAGTCTCATCAGAACATACTAACATAGGGAAGGAGGAATGGTCACTGTTGTTTCTGTGAAAAGATAAAGATTTTTTTTTGTTGTTGTTGTTGCATGAACATGCGTCCGACTGACCGACTTTGTGCTGGAGTTCCCTTCAAGACTAGCCCAAGCCAGTAGTATGCACCTAGTGCTATTTATCTACTGAACGGCAGCTACTGCGGCCACGTGCCATTTATCCATCTATCAAGGCCGGTTCGTTGTGAGAGAAAAATAATATTTCACGACTAATTTATATAAATTAAAGCTGGTTGAATAGCGCAAACAAACAGAGCCCAGAGCCGGAGCCGGACGGCATGCTGGAGCAGTGCAACTGCTGAAAGTACAACACATGCATTGCAGCATTGTTGGGTTGGATTGCATTGTGCCGGACGACAAGCTTCAGGTGTACGTTGTATATCTAGTATAGCCCGGGTGGCTACCTTCACTTGCAGAGAACACATGCATTTATATACTTGTAGTCTATATACTTGTAGTTTGGTATACTTGATTTGTCGTTTGACAGATTACGAATAGTGTTTTTCAGTTAATTTCAGTTAAGTTTCAGACCAGCGAACAGGGCCTTGTAATCTCACACGGCTTTACGTACGTACTCTACCTTGCTTCCGGCTTAATTAGCTGGGAGACTAACAACTTTTTCATTTTATTTTAGCTTGTTCGTCAAATTAAATCACCTTTCGGCATTCGAATTGAACAAACTCGATTCAAATCACGTGCAAAATGCCTCGATAGCTAAAAGTTTGTGAAGGAAATTCTAGTTTTTTTTTGAGGTACTATCAGATTGTTGCTCGGTGCGTTGACAGCACAGGAGGCCGCTGACTTCTCGCAAAAGAGAGCCGCTTTGACGCACGCGATCGAGGGGGGGAAACAATTGGGTACGACGTACGCGCTGTTTACGCTAATGCGTTAGGTTCAAAAGTTTTCAAACATTTTATATGCAGACGTTTTTAAGCAAAAGTGGCCAGTAGTACGGTGTTTGATTATATATGATTTATGAACATGGCTCGCTCGCGCAGGAAGCAACTGCCGTCCTTCGGTTGGAGAGATCGAACAACTTTTCAGCCTGAAAAGGGCACTTTCATTTCTCTCATGTTTATCATCGCAGTGCAAAGCTTTTGGACCAGAGAGAGTTTGGAACAGATCGGTGGATTTTTCTGCTTGTCCGTCCATTTGAATTGAAAAAAGAAATGAGTTTGAAACCAACTGGAACGCATGCAAGCGAGAGCAGGTAGAAGGTCGGTCTACAACAAATTCAACGAAGCAACCATCGTTGGAACTGATGATAGAGCGAGGTTTCTTTCGTCTATCGTGGCAACGTAACGGCAAATATTTGAATCCGTCAAGTGGCAACAGAGAATTATTAGCTGAAACCTCGTCCAAAAAGTAATGCCAAATGAATCAGCAGAGAAGATTAGCTGAAATCTTGAATCATCAACTCCATCCCAACGTTACCATCGGCATTTGACGATCGGTTTGACCCGCCACATGGATTGACCTGAGTATATATGTGGAGTACATATTACTCTAAAAATATATGTGGAGTACATGACAGGTCAGCTTCCACTGCTAGCTCCTGCTCATAATAAAGAATCTAGCCATCACTACTGTGTGATTTCTTTACTTTGAGGGAGGAGCCGTTGCTGCCAAGACTCCGTCCATCTCAAAATAAGTTAAAATCACATGGCCACTGTGTGTGTGTGTGTGTGTGTGTATTTTTTGAGGGGAAGTGCGCTGAGTATTTGGAAAGTAAGAAAAACAATTGCATCTTTAGAGGAGCCCAGCCTTCTGCTGCATGCTAGTAAA